GTTCATTAAAGCCACAATAGCTGTGACTTTGAACACTTTTTGCAAGTGATTTGATGTGCAGGGTAGCTTCCGAGTAGAACTATCTGATAATAAGTTTTACTATAGTCAACAGTATTCAGCTTTACTTTTTGGCTTTGTTTGCATGTGTTGTTAAGAGATTGATGCAAGAACGCCACATTCTTTCCAGAGTTTCTCTATATGTTGTAAAGGTAGATGTATTATTAGGGGATATACATAACTAGTACAGCATGTTGGTTTATTACATGTAGCGGTTTTTACTTTGCACCACGTTACGTTTGCAATGTAATTACGGTACATGTACCATCAATGACTCATCATTGCCTTGTGTCGGCTTACCAGATAGTTGGTATCAAGTTTGTAGATATTAGACGAAATAAAATCAGGGAGTTAAGGGTGGGTAATGAGATCCATCCAGTTTTCTAACTCGATATTGAATGCGCCATAGTTAAAAGCAAATTTAAGGATGTTGTGGACATAATTTGGAACATATCTTAAAACTTCACAGAATTTCTATAATAAATTAAATACAGTTGAAACCGTGGCCAAAGTTTGGTGAGCAATTTGCATGTGATTTATACCTGGACATAATAAAATAGGTATGTTTTAAAAGGACCAATCAATAAACATCTTGATTTAGTTTTTTAAAAATTACATAGAGTGCCAACATCATCAATAATATCTTAAACTAATTTCTCAGGGTTAATAATTTTTTTTTTATAAAAACTAAAATTGTTTACATATTGATCTCATCATTTGCCTATTGACTGGATTGATTGATTTCCATTATATGTAGATCAAGAGCTCCCGAAAATATATACAACTTATTAAGTTGCAATTACTGGTAATATTTGAACAAAACATACTCGTGCTTCATCATGAACGTCTACAGCATTCCTTAATTGTAGGTACCGGTATACAAAGCACATTCTTTCGCTTTGTCTAGTTTGGGTTTTCTAAGATTCAGTCTCCTCAGCTTTAATGTGTAATTTTATTCCGATTCTGTCTGAAGGTCTCATTGTAATACATGAGAACTAGTGTTATGAAGTAGAAGTCTTATGTGATTTTATTTGAATCTTGCATCTGCCATGCTTTTATCTACTTGTGTGACATGTATAGTATTTACATTGATTGCTGGAATTTAATTTACTTTTATAATGATTTTTGTCACTAAAAGCACATTTTAGAGTGCTGTAAACCATATAATTTTCATCACTATCACAGTAGACAGTTAAGTGGGACAACATTTTGTAATAATCGTTGACTCATTTTCTTCAAGATGCCAGTCCACTGATACAAAACTTGCAGTTATTCCTAACACATGAATTATTATCCTATGTCACTTTAATGGACCTTGTATGCAAATAACTGATGTAGTTGAAATTGAGACACAATACTTGTTTTTATGTCCACAGTCCCAAATACCGTACTTACGTAGGTCAGAGGAGCAGTGGACACAATGACCACAAAGAATGGAACATAACATAACTTAAAAGACAATAAGTCCTGTGGCTCTCTCTTACTCGTAACAAAATCTTGTCGGCCATTTTTGTTGGTGGTCTATTGTCTCTTTCTTGGTGCTACTGTCATCATATCTACAAGCTTTACTGCAGGATTCTTGTCATTTATAAATATGCTAATATGTGTATTCAGAATTGTCTTCTCAAATTGATGGGGAAACATGATTTGTGTACATGTGGTCAATTCTATCACCATCACTAATTTAAATATGTAGTTTTTTTTACTTATAGCTGACTTCAAATTGATATTTAATTGGAGTTGAGTGAAGATGAGCTGCTTCTCAGAAAAAGAAAAAAAGCCAGGTGTTGGTAGATTATCAAGTATTTTTCTATAAACTACATCTCATTTGGTGCACAGTCCCTGTGTCTTGCAGCTCATCTTTTATTCATCTCCTGACTGGCATTTACTTCAATGCCTACTTTATTGTACAATTTTAATTTAATGGAGGGTCATGTGATAATTTGTGTGCTATTTTGCAATTCTAATGTCTATTTCATTTGTGGCAGTTGGACAAAAATCATGCCTTTCTGCCAATAAAAGAAAACTTAACTTTTTCGCAGTTAATATTACGCATATTGACCAACTTTTGAAATGTATTCTAGCTTCAGTGGTGCTATCTGCAGTGTACACTACATGATTTGTTATTTTTCTATAAATATGTGTGTTTTTGCCATCAAAATAGAACTTTTGATATTCTGGTATTGTGTGAATAAGAGGGAAATGAAAATAAAAGATACTGATCTTGATTGCACTTCTTATTTTTTAGTACATGTGTGTTAAGAACATGAACTGGAGGTTCTCTCTCTCTCACTATGTATGCGTTATGAAGTTTGTCCCACTATATAAAATATTATTTGATTAACATTTAGTCGAAAAATATTTCAAAATGGGAGTTTGCCCTTGATAGAGGTTATGTCTACATACTTGCATAAGGTTGATATTTAATTAGGCATATTTGCCAAATGATTCTATGGTTAATTAAAAAACCAACATTATATTTACACTGTTGCAGTGAATTATGTGGCACCTGATAAGTTTGAATTCTCTGCCCCTTCACCTCAGTATTACCTTGAGCCTCGGACCTATTCACCTACTGCTGTTTACTGCACAGGCATCCTTCAGCATCTTTCTAGACAGTCTTGTCAGACTATTAATCGGATGTCTAGAATCACTCGTGGTCTAAATCAGATCATTTGTTAATAGGGGTTTCTATGACACCACCTGCCTGACAAGCAATGGAACATCAGACAAGCCTGCAAGCACATAAATTAACTGAAAT